CCTCTCCCGCTCCCCCTGCTTGTGTTCCCTCTCTCGCTGTGTCTCTCTCTGTCAAATAAATAAATAAAATCTTAAAAAAATAAAATAAAATAAAAATCCAAAAAACAAAACAAGACAAAACCCCCATCTAAACAGGAAATACTGTGTATCTGCTGGATATTTATTCAGTCTGGAGGGTTTTCCAAGTTCTAGCAAGCGACACAGCGGAGGAAAGCGTGATCTGCTGTGGGAACGGCTCCCTCGTGACATCCTACAAATACAGGCATAACTTCTTTTATCCCACTCCACTTCATCGTGCTTCGCCGATAATTGCATGTTTTGCAAAGTGAAGATTTGTTGCAAACTGCATCGAGCAAGTCTATCGGCACCATCTTTCCAAAAACACCTGCTCACTTCCTATCTGTGTCATTTTGGTTACTCCTTGCAGTAGTTCCAACCTTTTCATGGTTATTGCATTTGCTACGGTGATCTGTGATCAGTGATTATGACTCACTGAACGCTCAGATGATGGTTCGCATTTTTTTAGCACTGAAGTATTTTTTAATTAAGGCATCTACGTTGTTTTTGAGACTCAACAGACGACAGTACAGTGTAAACGTAACTTTTCTATGCGCTGGGAAAGCAAAAATTTCATTTGACTCGCTTTATTGTGATAGTCACTCACCGCAGTGGTCTGGAACCGACCCCACAGACCTCTGAGGTATTCTTGTGTGTGACTCCTAATGCGAGTGTCATGGGTTTATAGCAGCAAGTGTAAATCCTCCTTCAGCTGTCCCTAATAAACACTTTGGGGCTTAAATCAGAAAAGAATCAGAAGTTATGGTGGCAGCTGCAACAGGGTCCACTTGCGTTCCAGCCACCCAGGGCTTTACTAACTACTGACTGGTTCTTTGTGTCAGAAAAGCAGGAGCCAAGAAAGAGCCAGTTAGGAGAATCCACTCCATTTAAGGCTGTTTCCTTATTTCTTCATTGACTGAACTGCTTAGAAACAGCATTCGCCAAGGTGCAAATGATCTGGGTGTCCTATTGACAAACACATACAAAGACCCAGCCCGGGCTGGAACTAATAAAAACAAATGAAGAAAATGGCACCCACATTCATGTTTAACTACAGGGCACCTAACATTGTGTCTGGAATGTGGCAGAAAGGCTCAATAGATATTCACTGGTTTGGATTCCTACAATCTGTCCCCCGCGCCCCCCCCAACTCCCCAAATCTCAATGTGGATCACGTACCAGAGCAGTACATAAATATCATTCCGGTGCCTTGCCTCGTAAACATCTGTGCACTCAGTCCCAAGTAAACCAGGCTGGTGCAGCTCCCAGAAAAATCTGCTCCCACTAACAGTTTTTCCAGCTTTGCCACAGAGCCAATGGTCAGGAAGGGGCAGCTGCACCTGTGCCCACACAAAATCCTTTTAAAAACCTAAAAGCCTGGGGCGCCTGGCTGGCTCAGTCTGTCAGGCGCCCAACTCTTGGTTTCGGCTCAGGTCCGTGATTTCAGGGTCATGGGATCGAGGCCCGCGCCACGCTCGCTCATGGAGCCGCGCTCAGTGGGGAAAATCTGCTGGAGATTCTCTCTCTCTCTCCTCCCTCTGCCCCTCCCTGCCATTCTCTCTCGGTCTCTCTAAAATAAATAGATAAATCTTAAAACAAACAAAAAAACCTAAAAGCCTGGGCAAGAATGCTAATATTAACGTTTTGCTGCTGAGGGTGGCAGGTCGAACGCTGGTCAAATCCCAGCGGAGGTTTGCCGAGGCCCATTTCTTCTCTTGAGACCATCTGTCCACATCATAGGCTCCCTTCGTACCATGCAGTGGAGGGCCAGCCACCCCTGCTCAAGCGAGGTTTTTTTCTTCCCAAATTTAGGAAAGCGTTTCCTGAGGTAGGCAGACTGAATCACTTGTTAGCAATCACCCAAGATGAGAGCCCCGGTATAAATGCCCTGCACAGCTTGCCTTCCTCTCTAAACTGGCTGTGATGACAGTCGAGGTTCCAATCTGACCCTAACAGGACCTCATTCTAAAATCAGTGAGACACACAATAAGCCAAGTCCTTTAAAACAACATTAAGGGTCTGGTTTTAGATCTGCTCAACAGCAGGATTAAACTTTCAAGGGTCCAGCCACGATAGAGAGATTTCTTTAAAGTCACTTGGCTTTGCACAGTTGTAGCTATTAGGGATCAGATCTTTATCTCAAAGGTACACATTTTACGTTTGATCCTCCTCCAGAACTCCCACTAATGTCAACTTTCTCTGCTGTTGGGATCAAGCCCCTGGCCTCCCTTTAATGTTGGCTTTATCGCAGATTCTACAAGATGAACAGAAAAATTACAAGGAAAAGCTGTGAAGTTCCCTTCCGATGATAAGTTGTTGGAACAAAAAGAGCCCACACTTAAATGGTGAAATTTAAACACAGCAGACGAGACGGCCGTAAGGTAGAGGGAGAGGAGACAACGAGGACGAACAACAAAACCCCAAAGTAACAAAACAAACACTAATTAACCAGTCTGATGGCTTATTTAGGGTTTGCTCTCTAGTCCAGGAAATTGGCAACGAGTGTCTTGAAAACAGAAGGGGCGAGTGCCCGTTAGCACCCGTCCGCTTTCCTCCTGAGCCAGACAATCCGGAGGAGGCTGAGGGTGCGATGGAGGGCTCCCAGGGGGGTCAACGCGCTTTCAAATCCCCACCCCCCAGCCCTGCCGCCTAGGAGGCACCCCCGGCCGTGAGCGGTGGGGCTCTACCGCCCCCTCCCCGGTCCTCCATCCCTGGACTGGCACACACCATCATCCCCCAAACACGGCCCCATCTCCTCGCCTCTGGAGCGCTCCTGGGTCCCCGGGGACACCCTCGCCCTGTGGCGGCCGACCGCGCGCGCACTCGCCCCGGAACCCCGTTGTTTGCAATTCCCTCCCTCCGCGGCCACAGCAGCAGCACCCCTTCGCCACCCATCACCACCCTCTCCCCAGTAGCGGGAGGAAGTCGCTCTGCTTCCTCTGTTCTCACCGCCCGCCCGAGCTTGGGAGCCCGGGGCTTTTTGGGTGGGGTTCTTTTTTTGTGTACACGATGTGTGTGTGTGTGTCTGTGTGTGTGTGTGTGCGCGCGCGCGCGCGAGTGTGTGTGTGTGTGTGTGCAAAAACGCTCATCGCATCCTTCCGCCGCGGCTGCCTCAGGTGCCCGCAGGAGGGAATCGGGCTCTCGTCGCGCCCCGGTCCCCGGCTCTTTGTGCGGGCTCCAGGGCAGCGCGAGGTCCGC